GTTGTTGTAGTTGTAGTTGTAGTTGTAGTTGTAGTTGTAGTTGCAGTGGCAGTAGTAGCAGTAGTAGTAGTAGTGGCAGTAGTAGTAGTAGTAGTAGTAGTAGTAGTAGTAGTAGTCGTATTAGTAGTAGTAGTAGTAGTAGTAGTAGTAGCAGCAGTAGTAGTTGTAGTAGTAGTAGTAGTAGTAGTAGTAGTGGCAGGAGTCGTGGTTGTGGCGGTGGTATTGGCAGTAGTAGCAGTACAAACAGTAGTAGTAGTCGTCGTCGTCCGTCGTCGTAGTAGTGGCAGCAGCAGCAGCAGCAGCAGCAGGAGGAGTAGTAGTAGTAGTAGTAGTAGTAGCGGCAGTAGCAGTAGCAGTAGTAGTAGTAGTAGTAGTAGTAGTAGTAGCAGTAGTAGTAGTGGTGGTAGTAGTAGTAGTAGCGGTAGTGGTAGTGGTGGTAGCAGCAGCAGCAGCAGGTGGAGTAGGAGGAAGAATAGTAGAAGTGGTAGTAGTAGTAGTAGTAGTAGTAGTAGTACTAGTAGTAGTAGTAGTAGTAGTAGTAGTAGTAGTAGTAGTAATAGTAGTAATGATAGTAGCAGCAGTAAGAGTGGGATAGCAGGAGGAATAGGAGTAGGAGTAGTAGTAGTAGTAGTAGTAGTAGTAGTAATAGTAGTAGTAGTAGTAGTAGTAGTAGTAACCGTAGTAATACTAACAGCAGGAGTAGTAGAGAGCTAGTAGTAGTACTAGTAGACATAGTAGACATAGTAGTAGTCGTAGTAGCAGTAGTAGTAGTAGTAGTAGTAGCATCTGCGCGAGCTTTCGTGGCAAGCAAGCATGTTGAGCTTGTGGAATCTTGTGGACGCAAGAGCATGAAGTCGGGCAGCTTGGGACAAAAGGCTACTGCAACAGCACACAACCAGATGACAGCCGGCTTTTGCAAACAGCTGTCCTGCGGATGGTCACCACATATGCACCTGCAAACGTTGCTGATCTGAGCCATGGCAATTCTTGCAGCTACGGCTCCGTTGCATCTGTGGGTGCTGTCGGAAGTCTTATTGAATAAGCACCCTCCATGGAAGCGAAGCGCATCCTCATTACAAACACGCATTACCCTAACATGAGTTAATACACTTGTAAGTGTGAGTGAAGGACGAAATACTGAGCGCACACGACCAAAAGTAGCAAATAGAAACTGCAACTCGAGCATAGGTCCAAAAGGATAGTAAGCCCACTGCACGGCAACACCAACCGAACATAGCCCTAACGTTTATTGATGAACGGGAACTCAGGCGAAATCGGCATGCAGGATCACGACTTTACGAGCGTACATTCTTTCCATCTTTCGTCAGCCCCTATTGCACAAGCTAGGGAGTGTAATCAGTCATGTCCCGTCCTTAGCTGATTTGGGTGGAAAATGCAGAAGCCTCGTGCGGGGAAGCGTCTCGATCGCAATGGAAACCGCAACAGTTGTCTGCACCGATGTGGTTGTCTCAGAAATTAATGTCAATTCACGCTCAAGTCGCCGAAAATGCACAGGTGCGAACTCTAAACAGGACTCCAACTCAACAAGTGTTTGCCGGATTTCAATGCAAATCAACATCGGATGCAGGTTAGCTTCATGCAGGAAAAGTCCGCAGATGTCACGCGTTGCAGGAGACAGGGAGAAGCGGAGAAAAGAATCGGCCCTGAGGAGTAGATTCTGCATGGGGTGACACGAAAACTCGTAAACGATTCCTTTTCGGTATCTGTCTGCGTGTTTCCATGTGGTTTTACCGTGCATTGGCAAGCGACGAGTTACAAATTGGATGCAAAGCATGTTCGCACGAAATTCATCTCAATTCGTGCCAGGCTCCAGCAAGATTGAACGATGGACAAATAGATGGACAGATAGATGGGTAGATAGATAGATACGTAGAGAAACAAACCGATTGATCGATTGCGCATTGAATGTGCTGAAGTCGTGATCAGTTTGAACAGGCCTGTCACGCATCGTGTCAAAGCCTTGCCCCGGAGTTTTTCCAAGGAGCCAAAATTGCTGATTGCAAAACTACTTCACGACATTACATGCATGCTGAACTCTCCATGTGTTTTTTGCCACCGGCTGTTTGCTGCGATCATCCTAGTCCTAATCGTGTCAAATCATATAACTGACGAATTGCCAACATGTTGTAGTACCTGTCAGGAGTTAACGACCTATGCTCGACAATACCTGGTCCAAACCAGAGGCCCGGCTTAGGGTGTAGGCCAATGATGGCTCTGGAGTTGATTGGTACAATCCTCAACTTGCTCGGGCAGCAGGTCCTTTTCTGTAGTAGATCTCCTTTTTTGTGCATTTCGTTTTTGTTCTACTCCCGTTTCCTCTAGTTTACTGTCTCTCCTGAGTTGCAGCATGACAGTACCTGGTTTTGCACCCCATCCCACTGCACATCCGTCTACTCAGCTCCGCTTCAGTGTATTCGGCTCCACATTCTGTTGTACGTGGTCGTGACGCAGAAGGAGATATACTGCGTGACACACAGTATATCCTTCCTTTCTGTCACGAAGTCAAGCATGTCCATGAACGCATTTTGCATTGGCACTGTGCACTGAAACTACATCTTGTGTAATGAGAAACTCAATGCTACATGCTTTGACAGTCCGATCTGCATCGTAAGCTTGTCTGCCTGGCGCACAGTATAGCACTGTTCTGGCGAAACCACTTGCTCTCATGAGGTAGGCTGTACTGTCAAGTGCATACTGACTTGTTGAGTTAAGCCTTGGCGTACAGTGCCATGCTTTGATACAATGCAGTATGCGGTACCATGTCACATAATGTTGTGCTTTAACTTGTTGTAGTACAAAATGCGTTTGTATTGTATACCGGCATGGCTCAGTTCGTTTATCACTTCTCAAGCAACCTCCCCATTACATGACACTCGCTTGTTGCTGCACGACACTTTCTCAAGCAGACCTGAACCGTGTTGCTTTAAGCGGCCGGAGTCAGTGCACCTGCATCTGAGGCGAAGAACATCCACCATGTCTGCATAAATTCCATGTATGCTAACTGGACGAAAGCTGACTTCGCATCATGTAGCACCTCGGCCTTCCCTGCCAAGAGCATGTCCTGTAATTATGTGACATCCCAATTATGGATGCAGCACTTTTCATAAACGTCTTCTAATGATTTCCCGCGCGCACGTTTCAATTTTGGTGGTGAAAAGCTACAGCCCGGATTTGTTCGAATGGCCGCAATATAGCACCGCTCAAGTAGCAATATTAGCTGCTACTGATTGCCAATGCGAAGTGCGGGTGCAGGGCTTGAATTGATGCCTCAATCGTTCAAAGTATGCCACCGAGAAGTACTTTTGCATCTGTTGCGCTCCTACCAGTGTCATGTCCAGTGACTAGAAACTGACAGTGCGTACTCAGCCTTTCCTACGGTGCCTGGACTCAGTACAGTCCTGCCAAAATGCTGGAAAATGCAGCGTTTAGCTGTTCTGGACGTTAAGAAGCCCAACAAACAACTAGTGTTTCCTTTCCACCGAACAAACACATGTAAAATGCCAGTAAGCACTACAGAAAACTCTGTCAAAATCCTGGAAGTTCCAGTGGCCCCAATCTTGAACTGCTCAAGTAGTCCTAGCTGCCAATATTAAGTGGGGGGTAAGGGTCTTGATGCACCAATCGTTTGAAGTATGCATGTACAGGTGGTGCAAATTTCGCCCATCAACCGGACCAAAGATTACCAGCGCCACTAGCGCTTGCAACTCAAGATGTCGATACTTGCGCTTTCCATGGACATCGGATATGTCAAAGCATTATCTGGGACCCTGGTTGCCAGCTTAGATTCCGAAAGAGATTGTTCGGCGATGCTCGGCATGTTCCAAGCAAATTACATGTTTGGACACATGAATATACACGCCTCTCCAAATCTCAATCACATGCAGCAGACCACAAAGAAAGAAGATGTGACACACAGTTCGGTTGATGCAAGTGCTTGCCCGGAGGAAGATTTGTAGATTCATGACTACATGCCGTAGCTGAAGGATGAACACTGCAGAATCGCAGTCGTACCGCTGCTGGAGCCGAATTGCAGCGGAGACATAAGCCAGGTGCCAATCCAACCATCATGAGCATTGCTTGCCTGCCACCGCAGATGAAACCTTTTGCAGAATCGCAAGGCCGGTAGCTTTTCGGGTGCGGACGGTGTCCTACAGCCCCTGTTGATGTCACATCAAAGTCAGGCACCAGGACCGCCCAAGAAAACCGGCTGCAAGTCTCTCGTGTGTAGATGCTTTTCAGGTCATCCGCGCACGTGGAGTACCTGGAATGCCGTCTCGATCTTTATAGTCGAGGTCTAGTCTACTGGAGCCCTTACACCCGCACGGTGGTCTTATACTCTAGTGATGCTTGTGACTCAAGTGTCTACGGCAATCCGTCGCACTGTTCACTGCATAAGCCGCCAAACTTGCTTACTGTACGTGCAGTCCGATCACGAACTTCCTGGAAACAAATCGTGCAGACGCCTGCTTCGGCTTTTGCTGCTTTTTCTTCTTGCTCCGCTTTCCAGCATCGTCATCCTGCCGAGTTTCCCACACGGTAGCTCAAGTTAAGAGCTAAGTACGGGCTGCAGATATTGAGTCATCTTGTTAACTGCCAGGTGCATCGCCACACCCTCGCCTGTTCTGCTTTTCCGGGCAGGAGCTCGCATTCATCGTAAATCTCGCTTGCCTTACTTGCTTGGGTTGCGCGAGCAGCAGCCTCTTTCGCACACGAGTCTGCTTGTCACCCTGCTTGTCAGTCAAGCAGATGGACTTGCCCGTCCAGGGTGCGTGGGCAGAAACACACCGTCCAGCGAGCATTTTCGGTTCCCTGGATCAGCTCCCAACATGGCCTTGACCATACAAACCACAAGCCTTCCTTGTCATTGCTCGAAGCTCACTTACTCCCCTGCGGAGTCGGGGAGCAGGGAAAGACACTGGCATGGCAGAAGTTCAGATTTCAGATGGTCCGAGAACAACTATGAAGGATCATGTGTACAGCGTCGTCCAAACCAAGGGCACGTGTTCTTTCGCAGATTCATGTGTGTAAGTATGTCGCGAAAAACGGCGACGCCGCACGTAAGGCATAACATCCGGAATAGAAGGCTGAGAAGCACGCTTGCATCCTTGCTGGAGGCCTTGAGAACTCTCCCATGGCGAGGTGTCGCTTCACTCAACCAGCATGGTCTGCCGAAATCTGGGGCTCGGGCTTGAAGTCTTCGCTTAGTCTGGCTGCTTCCACCTGCCATTTGCATTGCTGACATTACTGGTTGTAGGTCAATGAACATGTCGTGATTGCAAAAGTAGTCAACGGCGGCGCACCTCTCGTGCGTTCTGGCCGGCGTAGCTCTTCCTGCTACAGGAAGGGGTTTAGGCAGTGCGGCCGGCTGTTTGGACGAAAAGTTCCATTTGACAATCCGTCAGGATGCTGCGCAAAGGCATCTTACAACACTACTCTGGCAAGTTCAGCCCCAAGCTTCGGAGGTGAGGTTTGCACTAGAAGCCCTGCAAGCCCGGGGTTCTGCCTCCGGATGGCTGAGGTGGGAGGCTCTTTGCTGCTCTGCAGAGAAGCTTATGCTGGCTGGCATTGGTAGGTTTCACCACTGAATCTTCTTGTGCGCTCCCAAGATTGGGCTGCTGAGAGTGAATGACTTCGCCACTGCTCGAACCGTCACGGAATGTTGCAATCAGAGAGGTCCTTGTCCCACCGCCTCTCGCAGGTGCATCCTGCATGCAAGCAGCATTTAACCCTCTCTGTACGAAACTTGACAGAGCTTGCAGCTGCTATCTGTTCCAGATTGTCCAAGAGCAGGCACACCACGTCGTGCTTGCTGCTGCAGGGTGGGTCGCTATAGAGAGGTTTCTGCCCCTGAGCCACTCCAAGCTCAAGACCGAGCATTGGACATTGTCAGCCCCGAAGGAACTGGTAACCCTAAAAGGGCAGGGCAGGGCAGGCCGCGCAGGGGGCAGGGCGATCCTAAAAGCCGTCAACAACTGTTCAACACCACAGTCCGACACATGGGCAAAAGGCTACCCGTGCTTTCAACCAGACCCTTCCCTGGCGCACAATGATCGCTCGCTGGTTAATCCAAACAGCGGATTCGTTTCGAACACATTTGCATCCCGACAACATGTGGCAAGGGGCAACTTCGGAACAGAATCCGGGCTGATGCATGCGACACGCGGTCGAGGATTTGCCGACCCAAGCGATAATTGATCAGAACTGACACCTGCAAGCTCCTGGAGCACTGGCTTTCGTGATTTCTTGCTGACGAGGCTCTCGACTCATGTTGTTAATGAAGCATTATGACTTCTCTGGCGACGCAACTTTTACGAATCAGGTTTGGCTGATGCCACTCTCTCGACACTGCTTTGCTGCCTCTGCCTTTGCCGCTGGCATTTTGAAGTTCGCGATGTGTGCAGAGATCATGCTGGCTCAGTCCCAGAACCAAGACCCCGGACAGCCCTGAACCACCAAAGGGTGGGAAGCAGAGCCTGAATCGGCGACGAATAGTGTTACTAATTTTAAAAAAGGCTGACATTGGCTGACGTAAAAACTTCAAGCTGATGGCACCATTTGGGAATTGGTGTGGGGCGGACTTAAACACTCAATTTATGAGAAGCATCGCCAAACGCCAACAACTAGTTACGACTGACTTCGCGTGCAGTCTGCAGAAGACCAGCAGCACGGGCCTAGTGTGCACGGCAGAGCAGAAAGTCCGGCCGAGCAGGACCGACCCGGCCAGCACGTGAACTCCGCAAAAAGTCTCGGGAGGCCTTTCTATGGAGGCAGCCACAGCAAACTGTCCTTCTGCAGCGTAACCTGTTGTTTGGTATGCAGCTTCAATATGCTTCAATTTAAGGCGCTGCAAGACAGAATTTAACGGAACACCTCATACAGATGCGTAAATGCGAACGACCAAGACAGGCAGACTCGAGCTTTCTTCGGTTCTCTCAGTAATCTCTGAGCTTGGCTCTGCAGAAGAGCGTAGGCTCTTCCGACTCTTCCGGCCCTGCCGTCGGTTGATACGACGGAATTCCTTGCTTGCTTCGTTAGCCCGAAAGAAAGGAATTGAGTTGTTTTGTCTCAGTTGTCAACACTTTGTGTAGCCTAGGCTTCAGCAGGCACTCCAACACCCAAGAGTGCTATCAGAGTGTGTGTGTGTGTGTCTGCGTTCTCCCACGGGTGGCCTGGAGTAGCTTCGGATTCGGAACCGTTGAACCCACTAAGTGTACAGTCTAGTTTCCCTCCAACCATTGAGCAAGCGAATGAGCCACTGAGACTTGCTTTTCAGTCCGGTAAGTGCCATCGCTGGACAGATTGCCGGAATTTGTCTTGCGCTTTCTCATACACTTGCAGTTCGGCAGCTTTCGAGAAATAGGGAATCCTTTCTTCAATTTTCTGGCATGCCGGTGTGAATTCCAGAGGTGCGGCTGCTTCAATGTGTATTTCGGAGTGAGTTCCACGGTGAGTTCCGGAGAAATGCAGGGTGAGTTTCGGAGTGAGTTCCGGAGTAAGTTTCGGAGTGAGTTCCGGAACTTATTTTGGAACTCACTTGGTAACCGAAACTGACTTTGGAAGTCACACCGTTGCCAAGCCAGACTCTTGAACACACTTCACAACTCAGTTCAGAAACCGACACATCTCTGGAATTCACGTTCCAACTCAGTATGAACTTCACACTGACATATAAAATGAATGGTTTTGAACTGTCACAATGTTTCCTATTTGCGATACTTGTATACATACATACAACATGCAATACATGCTATCAACCGTACACAGGACCTTGCCACTCCTGTCGGACTTCCCGAGGGTTACGGGCTATGAGCCTTCGGACAGAAAAATATCCTGCCTTGTGTTCGAGCCACCGGTCTGGTTGATCTCCTGGCACGTGATGCGATGTGATGTGTTGTGGTGTTATGCTACAACGTACTCGTACTTTGCAAACCCTGTCGAAAGCGTCCTGGCCTCGGCTGCGTGGCTGGCCTTTCTTCTTTCTGACCTGAAGGAGAGATTCAGACTCTGAGGTCTGCCCGGCAACAGGACTCTGAATGTTTTGCTCGAAGTCGCTTCCTGAGATTTTCTGTACTCATCGATCGTGATCATTCCTTCACCACCTGCAAACAAGAGCGATATCCCCCCAACGTCTTGTTCAAGGTCCAGCCTGACTGGTGAACTTTGCTCTCCAGGAAGACGCTGATTTCGTCAGCCGACTTTACCTACAGTATGCTCCAGAAGCACTGATTGCGGCGTCTTCCGTGGCTTCAAGGCCACTTATATTTTGACGAGCACATTCAACATGTCTGAGATTTTCTGAGGCCAGCCGGGGTGTCATAGGTTCGAAGGCGACAAGTGTTTTCATTATGGCCGCAGCTAAGCTTGCGGCTTCAAACGGCCCCTTCTGCTCCTTGTCCACAATCGGCAATGTCTCAGCCAAGCACCTTTCGCTCGCGACGACAACAGCTTTAAGGAATGTTGGCATGTCCGCCAGGCAAGAACCGATTCGTGGGATCTAACAATCGCAAAGTTTAAGGACGCAATCATCTTCGAGATCCTGGCTCGTCCGACTTCAGCTCACGCAAAATCTGGCTCCATAGGGTGTGCTTTTCCAACATGTCCTCGGCAGAGCTACAACAGAAAGTAATCTATTGGCAGAGGCAGCTAACCCAAGTTGAGTCAGACCATACTGCCGCGGTTCTCGCTTTAGAGTGCGCCTGGGTGCGGGCACCGTAAGCCCTCAGGTTGGTTGGAGCATTGGCAGGCGGAATAGATATGTTGCCCCCCACACCCCCACAGCAAGATGCGTGTTATATGTGCGCCTTCGCAGTTGCTTTGGAACGTCAGCCTTCGCCATGCACCAATCGTTCAGGGTGTGTGCGGTTTCACATCTTGCCACTTCAACTGACAGTAGTACAATAGTAAATAGTACTGTGTCCAGAAGATGATTCACAAGACGAAATCTTACAGAAATGGACAGCTCAAACAAAGGGGCAGCAGTGCTTGCCACACCGCCATGACAGCAATGACTACAACAGCAACACTCAAGATACAAGAACGATGTGATGATGTCAGTGTTACCCGCAACATCGGACAAGAAACATGCTCCATGACGTTGTATACGCGCCCTTCGAAAAGCGAGTTTGAGGAAATGCAGAGAAGAAGAAGTACTGTAGATTGATGAAGTGCTCTGCTTTGGGAGTCTCACGCAGTGCTGCAAAACACAGAAACCCCAAAGTGCACGATCCCTCGCAAAAAATGGCATAACCCCCAGGTCGCCTTCGAGGGCAAGGGTGGGTGCGATCGAATGCGCCCCGGTCGCACACATCATTCGTCATGGAAGGCAAGGATGGGTGCGACCGGGTGGGACCTCTTTTTTTGCGTGGTCGCACCCGGTCGCGTCCATCATGCGGGGGGGGGGGGGGGGGTCCAGACCCCCTTGTCGCGCCGAGATGTGGGGGTCTGGGAAGGCAGCATTTTGGAAGTCCCACCGCTCGAAGAGTGTTCTGCATACTGCGTTTGTACTCGAAAACAGCATTTGGAGGCACAGTGCTCGGAGAGCATTCCACTTACTGCGTTTGATTCGAAAACAGCACTTTGGAGGCCCCCATCACTCGAAGAGCGTTCCACGTACTGCGTTGTCGTCGTCGTTGTTGTTGTGCATGCATGCAGGCATGTATACATCACATACATATTCGTACAAACGCAGTACGTGCGCTCTTCAAGTGGTGAGTGGTGGGGCCTGCAAGATGCTGTTTGCGAGTAGAAACGCAGTACGCGAATGCTCTTCGAGTGGCGGGGCCTGCAAACACTGTTTTCGAGTAAAAACGCAGTACGTGGAAAGCTCTTCGCGTGGTGGAGTCTCGAAAATGCTGTTTTCGACAACAAACGTTCGCGTTACAGACTTATAGTGTCCTTAGAACTCGCAACACCTACAATACACAGATACAGAAATTTCAAGGTGGACGT